CTCACTCTCTCTCTCTCTCTCTCTCTCTCTCCATTTCTTTGGTATTCCTCGATACTTACCTAAATGGGTTGTATAACTCTTTCACATATAATAACCAATACATGAATTGCTTATAAAAAAAACCCACACTTTATCATTAGAGATAAACTAATCCTTATTAATGGAGTAATACTTCTGACTGTTCAACAAGTATTGAGTCGATAAAAACATGATATTTTTATCTACAGAATAACTGTCATAATTCGTTGTCTCTTTTATTATAACTTATTTTTGATATTACAGTATATCTTAAAGCTATTGTTATTTCCGTTATAAGGCTTTTAAGTTATTTCAAAGTTTTATTTGAAAGGATTATTACAGTCTAACCATTAACCGTCTGACCTTATATATAAACCCCATATACTTTATTTCCATGATTTTTACTTAAATGTTAATTTTATTATATAAAACACAAATAATTGGTACAGTAATTATCAGATATATCTGATATATTTATAGTCATCATATGATTATCACACTGTACAGCAAAAACTCATCTCTTATGCTCAGTGATAGAACAAACAATTATCAAACAACATATAATTATATTTATAATCTAACTCATAACTTTAATTGTGATAAATGTGCATTTACTATAAATCAGAATTACCGATTTAATATTAATAAATTGCTTAATTTAAATGTATTAAATTGCAACTGTGTTATTGTAGAGTTATGCAGTATTACAAAATGTATTATAAATAATTTTGAAACGTTTATTATCCAAATAATTTTAATACTAGTAATATAAATGTATGGTATTTCAAAAGTGTGAATGAATCTTGGTTTTGCAATTTCTAGTAAATCATTTATATCAAAATTTGGTCGTATATCTTATAGGAAACGATAGGAATTTTGTGGAATATTTTCGCTTTTGTATTCTAATTTTTACAAAGTTTATATAAGCAAGTTAATTACTTAATTAATATTTACATTTAGTGTTATTTTGATGCTTTAAAGTCTAAAATTTATACTTGTAAATAATGCAATATTTGTTTGTACATGCAAAACATAATTCAAGTATTTAAAAGTAATTGATTAATACATAATGTGTTTATTTATGCATTTAGATAGACTTTTATTGAGTAATTTATAATAAATTATATTAAAAATGAATGACATAGAGTTGTTAATGATTTGTAATAAATTGAAACAAATGTGATGTTATGTAAAATGTGCGACAAGAATGTGATGAAGAATGCATACAAGAGATGAATGTATGTGCAGAATAGGTGTGGCTTAAAACGACTATCCGATTAGTTATACCCTATGAGAGTATATGCTTATAGAGAAGATTCTATTGCCTAACGTTGGGTAAAGTCAGACATTCTGTTCATTTATACCTTAACTTCACTTTAAGAGTACTGTATTGTGAATATCTTCTGAGATATAGAGAGTTATAAAAAGTTTTACAATTTAGTCGTCAGTGCTTTTCAAATGAGTTACTGAATGTCATCTCATTTTGTGTGCAAAACTAGTGTAAGATTTTGATATAATTTACACTTATATTTGATCTTAAATATGAAACAACTTGATAATAACATTAAATCCAATAAATAGTTGAATCTAAAAATTGTTTCTATTACTCGATATATGAAAGAAAATGCACGTGAGATGTGTTTCATTAACTTTTGTCCATAATTTGGTTCAATTTTTGCTTATTATTTGTCTCGCGTTTCAAACATCAAATTCACAACAGAAGGAAAGTATACCAGAATTTGAAAATTTTCCGATTATTGACTCCGATTTGGATAGAAGTGAAGAAGACATTCAACAAAAATCTGATGAATGGATTCAACGCTCCCATAGTTCTAGTATTACAGTAGGAAATGTTGAAAGTTTTGGTAGAGTTTTGCCAACATTTTCTTCGCCTAACGATGCGGTCAATCATGTGATCAATTCGCGTATTATTGAGAATCTCGAAACTGAAGAGTTGGAGAAGATTTCCAACAAATATAATAACATTCACAATAATAATAACGAGAATATCGACAATGAAAACAACGATAACAACAATAATAACGAAAATAGCGATGATTACGAAAGTCAGGAATTTAGGTCTCAAAACAATAGGAATAGATTAACACATAGAATACAACTGTTGAGACATTTATACAAATTATATAAATTGAAATCGAGTGGAATTTTGGCCAAAAGAGGTGAAGGACCGCAGCTATCGATCGTGAATCCGTTGGATGTGTTGAGACAACGACTTCTACTGGAATTGGCCCGAAGAAAGATGAAGGAGAATCAGGACCAGATCCAGGCCAACGCTGAGATACTCAAGAAGATTGGCAAACGGAGTGTCTCGTCATTTGTTGGAATCATTCCTCAAAACCCAAGAACTAGCTCTCAGTCGACGCCACCACTCATTTTCAGTAATAAACTAATTATTGAAAAATACTTATCCGACAGAAATAATCATTTAAAGAGTAATAAGTGGTGTAATAAATGTCAAAACAACAATTGAAAGAGCGCTCAACAGGTATTATATAAAGCTATATAAGTATAATAATTAAGACTTGTTTTGTTTCAATACAATCTCTACTCTCACATAAAATTATAATTTCTATTACAAAATAACTTTTGTTGTATTTGTTTTCAAATTAATTCTCATAAATTGAATAATAATTTTAAGAATATAAACGAAATACTTATACATAAATGAGCTATTTTTTAAATGTAAGATTAATTATACTTTTACTGATACACCCATTCATACCATAATATACATTACATCTGTTATTATTATATTGTTTTGTGAATATTCTGTTTTAAGTTATTTTTCATTAAACTTCAATATAATTTAGTTTATATTTGAATTATTAATTGTACAAAAAACAGTATTTTTTTGTTTTTATATTATATTAAAAACACACAAAATTAATTTACATTCATTTTTACAAATAATGTTAATAATAATCAATATTTAATATTTTTCTTAATTTATTTATTGAACTTTCATTGAATTCATAATAAAAAGTTAATTTTAAAGCTAAACCTGTATTCAATTTATTTCTAATTGTTTTTAAATTGCAAACAGAGAAATGTTTTATAACAGATTAATAAGTTGTTCACCGCTCCTCTCTCTCTCTCTCTCTCTCTCTCTCTCTCTCTCT